CTCCTCAGATACATATACAGTACTGTGCTCTCTGGCTGCAGCTAATTTGGCGCATCCTTCCCCTAATAGCAGTAATTTTTTTTTCCAAAAGTACCTTGGCGAATATAAGTTGGGAATTAGGTTACTAAATGTCTGAGGGGCTTTTGAAAATTTTATCTGGTTTGACCAAATTTTAGAAAACAGAAGTACCTTTCGGAAAGTTGTCAAAGGGAAAAGGATATCAATATCCCGATGACCACATCCAGAGGGATCACCATACTGTGATCAAAACTGAACCGTGAAATTGCATCCTGGTGGATGACCCAAAAAATAACAGGCCATAGCAAAGAATGGCAATTGTAACCAGAGAATTCAAGAAACACGATATTGAGTGAGACCTGATGTGCAGGAGAAGGAAAGTTCTGGACCAAAGTGTTAGTTACACTTAATTGTGGAAAAGTTCAGTTGATGGTGAACGACAAATCCGCAGTGCTTGTTTCATTAAGAAATACTCAACCAAGTCATAAATTATCAGCATCATGGCTCTCCATGCAGGAACTGGCATACAACACACATCAGTGTCCAGGGTTGGAGAGTATGCACTGATGATGGTTTTGAGATCCAACAAAAGACAATGAGAGAGGAAGAAAGTACACACTGCAGCCTGACTCAGCAACCTGGATCCACCCATTCCATTGGGAAAGATCTTCACCACTTGTGGCAAGGTCTGTGGATTATGGATGGTTCTTACTAGTCACTTGTAGGTCCACCTACAACTGGTTATTTTATGGAGGGCAATCATCCCTAAATTCCAAGGAATCACCGATGGACATGCTTAATCCCTACCATGATGATGGCCCGGTTGTGTCTATGGTTAGATGCATCTTATTAGGAAATGTAGTGGCACTTGTTATGATAAATGGAGACTTAATCATTTGATTAGTGATATCAACAGTTTTGTCTCCATGATGCATTGTATTTTTTTGGGGTGGTGGTGGGGATAATATGAATGTGAGCTTTAATTAGCAGTATCTGTTTCCAGTTTTGTTGTAATTACTGAGGAACTCTGTTGTAGCTGTATTATTTGGTGGTTGGAAAGAAAGAAAGTAAATGTATTTAAAATGCTGTGCTTTGCTTCCCTTGTTTTTTTTTAAATAAACCTGATTAATTGAACAGAATAGAAAAAAGTCATGTTAGTCAATGTGGTATTTGTAGTTGTGTTCACATTTAGTTGTAAAACTATCAGTGCCATTAAATCCACTACATTTTCCAGTGTATATTTATTAGCATTAATATATGCGAGTGAAGCCTCACAAGCTTTAGCTACAGGTACAGTTAAGCGTTTGTGTAGTAGAAGCAGTGAAGTTAAGCATATGCAGGAATCCCTATAGTTACAAATATTTACAAATATTTAGTTTGGCAACAGCACCTTACTCAGATGTTCCTTGCTGTACTAGTACTAATGCAGTATCCATATTTTTCACAGTACACTCTTCAAATTACAATGTGTTCTGGAATTAGGCCTAATGCAGGGGCTTGCCTGTGCTGTGTAATTTTATTTTTTGCAAATACTTTGTTTTTCTAGCAGTGTAAGAAAATGTACTTTTAAAACCACTATGTGCAATTAACATTCAAGCATTACAACAGTTTGGTGGTAGGTAATGTCTCCTATTTCTATAAAGGTATGACAGAAAGTTCTTATTGGATACCTAATAAGCTTTAACAAACACACCTTACATTTTCTTTGCCTATTTGGAATTATAGTTCAAGAGACACCTGAGACTAGTTCCAATGGGCACAATATGCCTGCTTTATTTGCTGTCACACAGACAGGAGGAATAGAACTAAGTCTCTATTTGCAATCCCAGTATAAACAGCTGAAAAGTGGGTTCTACATTTGTCATTACTTCGAGTCTTTGGGAGAACTCACTTGACTTTGTCCTAACATGATCTGGAATGCTATCCGTTCTTCAGTAAGGCAGGCTTTTTTCATTTCTTTTTCTCGGAAAAGATTCATAGTCTAGAGCAGGGGTCTCCAAACTTTTCAGCCCGAGGGCTGCATTAACTATCAAACAGCAGTTCGGGGGCCGACTACACACTTGAGGTCCAAATAAAAAACAATCAAAACATGGATGTTGTTTTTAATTATTTATTTAATATTATTTTATTCAGTTATTATTTAATAACACATCCATACACTATACATGAACACCTGTATTAGTGTGAATGGTGAAATTGTTTCCTGGATGCCAAAATAGCAGACATTTCTGGCTTTAGATTTGTTGTCCCTAACATCAACAGTGACCTGAGATTATCATCGGACAAGTTTGTTTTCGAATTGTTCTTCACGTATTTCATTCTTGAAAATGTTTGTTCACACAGGTATGTTGTTCCAAAGATTGAAAGGTACCTTGATGCAAAAGTTTTGACATTAGGAAAGTCTTCCTTGGGCAAAAACTGGTAAAAACCCACCAGTCCTATTTTGAACTTGTCCCTAAGGAGGTCATTTGCTTGCAACTCAATGACTTCCAGCTGCAGTTCATCTGGGCAACTGGCCACATCTGCTTCAAATGGGTTTTGAAACAATCTCACTTCTTCTGCCTTTGAATCCAAAAAGGTCTCCACGGGCCGGATGAGAGGGCCTCGCGGGCCGCATCCGGCTCCCGGGCCGTAGTTTGGAGACCCCTGGTCTAGAGCGAGTGTATTCTCCTTTGTGAGTGGGTTGGAACTCTAGCAGAAATGATGCATCTTTAATGACACTTTCATAAGGAATCCGGTACAAATTTGTCTTCACTTTTTTCCTTCATTTACATTTCACTACTGATGTTAATGAAAAAACAATTCCTTCAAAAACATCTCTGTGTGTGTTAAGACATTCCAGGAAGCATAACATAAGGCCAATAGGCTGCAGATCCAGAAACAATGCTCCTGATTTTATTTGAAGAATCTCCAAGCCAACACCTTTTCTAGCACATTGTGGAAAAATTATTTTTCATTTGCATTTTTTCTGGGTTAGATAATAATAGCCACCAAGTGGTGGACTTGTAAGTCTGTAATGACATTTTTTTTTCTCCCAAAAGGGAAATGTTAGTGGATGCGCTATTTAATTAAAAAACAAGAACAAAAATAAAGGTTTCTGGAGGGGGTTTTAAATTTTTTATTTTTTATACAATTAAATCCTGAATTGTTCTCAGTTGTTAAGTTTGTTGAACTAGAACATTAGGAATAGACTACAGTATTTGCAGTGAATGTCATTGTGAGAAATTCTGCTTTTTAGAGAGTTAATATGCTTAAAATTTTAGCAGAAAATGACAGAGGAACATTTAAAACTGAGTAGTTTGCCAGTCGTATTGCAGCATATACAGGCATTACTCCTTTCTTTTCACATGCTTGTATGGAATTTTATAACTTTATTTATAACATGCCTCCTACTGAAATACACTGTGCTAAAAATCTTAATGGCACCACTTAAACAAGACAGTTATTAAAAAGTGTAACACATAAAATAAAACAGATGGCAATAAAAAGGGAAAAGCATTAAATAACGGGCCTACAGTAGCAAAAACATATTTTATAAATAAGCAAAACATCTTTTGATGTAAAAAAGTGAAGATACTGGAAGAGAAACTGAAAGATTTTTTTTTTTGAGGGGGGAGGCAAGCTAGAAATCCAGACCTTAGCAGCTCCCATTTCCCTCCCACGTTCAGACAGGGTGGTAGGAACGTTTGGCAGTGGGCAGTATGCAAGCACACTAAGTCCAGGCTGACGGAAGCAGTCTCAGCTATGGCCAGGGTCTGTTAAGGCTTTCAAAAGTCAACAGTGCCAATTGAAAATCAATCTGCTAGTTTATAACCTGCCAATGTAAAGAATTCAGGGCGGGCGTAATGTGCGCAGTCACTCAAGCCAGAGAGCCAATGTGTTCCTGTACTCCGAGTCATCTGCAGCATGCAAATACACACGAACCTTCGTGAGCTGGGAGTCTGCAATACGGGAACACCTGTGATTTGGACCCCCATGTGGCTGGAGCACTAGTGCCGGCTCCCTGAGCCTCGCAAGCTGGATCCAGTCCTTGGGCTCTGCCTGGCAGAGGGAGGTGGGAGCACAGTGAAGCACTTGTCTGGATGCTTTCCCCCACCATGGAACCTGGCCAGTGCGAGCGGCAGGGGGCAGCGCTTGGGAGCAGCGGGGACGCCGAGCCACGGGTGCCCCCAGGAGTGGGATACCAAGAAAGCACCTCAAGCCCAGACCCTCCACCCCATCCTAGCCCTCCATGCACCCTCCCTTCCAGGCCCCACCCCCGTCCCGCTCATGCACCCATCCATCCTCCATCCCTCGTTCCCAGACACCGCACTAGGAATGTGAAAGCTTCACTGGTGGAGGTTGGAGCTGCTTCCCGCACACCATGGGTAGGTTGCTGCTACAGCCCCATGGGGCCTCAGAGGTGTTTATCCGTGACTCCTTCGGGCATGATTCCAAAGGGAATAATGTAAGAATGCTCATGATAACCGATTGCTGGCCCTGAGCCAGCTGTTAGGGCTCTCCTGCCACTGTCTGGCAAGGATGGTGGTGAGATGTGCACTGCACCACGGGGAGATCCAGGAGCCATTGAGGTTGCTTAGAGCTCCAGGAAGGCATTTTGTCTGGGGACTGTCACCCATGTTTGGACTTCTGTGTGGGACCAGCTGTGCCATTTAGGAGCATAGGCCCACCCCTTTTGGAGAAGCTAGTGCTACTTAACCCACAGGTCCATGTACTCGCTAACTACAGGGCCCTTGATTGTAGCCAGCCCTTGCACAGGGCCACCCAGGGTAAGCCAGAGGCTCCCCACCAAGAGCTTAGGGGTAGCTTAGCACATGCATGGTCTTCCATTTGGCAGGAACATGTTCTTGCAGTGGGTTAAATGTATGAAAATGCATCAGTGCCAAGTTCTGGTGGCTCCTGTTTGGTGCAGCGTGGTATGAACGCTTTGGGTGGCCAGGCCGCATGTGTTCACTTTCCTTTCTCCTTCCCCCTCTCTACAGCAGCAGCAGGAAATGCTAGCAATGAAACACCAGCAGGAGCTCTTGGAGCACCAGCGAAAGTTGGAGCAGCATCGCCAGGAACAAGAGCTGGAGAAGCAGCATAGAGAACAGAAACTACAGCAGCTCAAAAACAAAGAGAAAGGCAAAGAAAGTAAGTAGCAGCAAGGTAGTGTGTTTCAGTAGCTGGATAGGAACCAGGGACACTAGAGATGGGTTTCTGTGTGATTGTACAAGGTGGGTCGCAATGCTTCCGAAATTGCCATGGGGCGCTGCATAGAGGGACTTGTTGCATGAAAATCTCGTGGAAACTGAGACAGGATTGAGGAGAGAGAAAGAAAAGGAATTCGGAGCCCTCCTTTTTGTGTTGAGATCTGTAAATGCAGTATGTTAATTCTGGATGAGTTTTCTTTATAGCTCACAGCATGTGGCTTGTGATAGCGCCCAGGGAAAAGTGCAACCAGACAGTAAAATGATCCCGTAAGAACACAAGTCTGGCTGTGCTGGGGTCAGATCAGTGAGCCATCCAGCCCAGTATCCTGTCTTAGTGGCCAGTAGCAGATGCTTCAGAGAGAATGAAAAGAACATGAAAATTAAGCGATCCATTCCTTGTCATCCAGTCCCAGCCTCTGGCAGTCAGGTGTGTCGGTACTTACATAGCATGGGGTCGCATCTCTGGCCAGGTTGGCTGATAGCCAACTTATTCGCCGTGAACTTACCTGATTCTTTTTTTAACCTACTTAGACTTTAGGCCTTCTCAGTGTCTCCTGGCAGAGTTCCACAGGTTGACTGAGGATTGTGTGAAGTCCTTCCTTTTGTTGTTTTCAACGTGCAGCCTCTTCACGTTACTAGGCGACTTCTGCTTCTCACCTTATATGAAGGGAAAAGCACTCACTTGCTTCTCACCTGCTCCTTTTGTTCGTACATAGCCCCTTTCGGCTCTCCAATAAAAAGAATAATTGTCAGTGGAGGTTTTTGTAAACCCTGAGCTGCAAATATGTGGCTTGATGCTCCCAGGTACCATCATCATTAACCAAAACCACCAGAACATAGCCACGTTGCATTATTTTGAAGACATTACTTTGATTAAACATGAGAATAGTTTAAGACGACAATGTGTGGATGTGTGGTCTTATTAGTCATATTCTGGTCTTTCTCGGTTTCTCCATTGTACATATTACTGCCTACAAAACTTCCTCGTTTTAACCACGTTCTTGGATACCTGCCCAATCTACTTTATCTAGAAGCAGTAAGAAACGACATTTTCCAAAAGCTGGAATTTCTAAGATTTATGACTCTCTATACAATGAGCAGTGTTGCACCTTCAGACAGTGCTGAGCAAATAATTTTGAGGACCTTCTTCATTGTCAAATGAAAAGTGTTCTTCAACCTATCTGGTGTTATTAAAATGTTAAGTATAATATGCCAAAGCTGGTGCTCGTTTTGGATGGGTTTTCTATCCACCGCTTGGCAGTGTGTAATTCTGGCCAGATGACTTTCTTGCATTCTGGATGTTATCCCTTTGGAAGATTGGCTTACACTGTGGTTTAGAAGAGCCCCCATACACTACTTGCTATGATGACTAAAATGTCTCTGTGATGCTCTCGGAGAATCTGTTCTGTCAAGTGAAGGATAATTTTAATCCATCATGATGATAAAATAGACTGGTCTCTTGTGCAGTAGATAATGATTAGAAATTACACAGTTGACATTTTAACTCTACGCTTTGAAATTTCAGATTTTTTTTAAATGCTAGATTTTCCATTTGAAGAAATGGATGGCAGACTTGTAAATGAATTAGAATATTGTGTCGGTCTTATTGTCCACAGATACATTGAACAAAGAGACCCTTATTTGCAAGATTTCTCAATACAAAGTCTACATATGAGATATTCATCTCATTCCCCTCTTGCTTGCAGATGTGACATTTTAAAAACTTGAGTATGCATGAGACCCCTTATCTTAAATACCTTTTATTAAAAGAAAGCTGGGATACCTCGTACAAACATTTTATTCTACATGTACCTTTATGCAAGTACAAAAATCCTCTTCAGAAACCTTTTTTAGGAAATGAGGAATCTGATTATCTCCTTTTTCAGACATAAATTGCAATGACGTACAAATCTAGATAATAAAGAAGAGTTCATCGGAGCCTCTTTGTCTTTTCTTTTAAATAAGTCTTTATGTTGACGGGAGAGCCAAAGATTTTGCTCTCAATCTTTAAATATTCTTTTTTGTTACTTTGTGAATGGAAGTTTTAAGTCTTAATTCACAGCTGCTTTCATCAGATGAAGTCGGCTAAATAACCTCTTTATTCTTGGACATTTCAGGTGCTGTGGCAAGCACAGAGGTAAAAATGAAATTACAGGAGTTTGTTTTAAGTAAGAAGAAAGCTTTGGCACACCGGAATCTCAACCATTGCATTTCTAGTGATCCCCGCTTCTGGTATGGGTAAGTGGTACTGGACTTAGCACCATTCAGTCGGTGCCACCTTTATTTGCAATACCTTGGGCTGGGGAAAAGGGCTGATGCGTTTGATGGGCAAACTGTTAGCTAATGGAATAGTCAATGCAAAATGCATCGACTACTCCATTTGTCAATTAGTCAATATTTAACATCCTTAGCAAACAGTATGTTTAAAAGAAAGGTGTTGCAAAATTAATTAGTTAAATTGTAACGTAACTAGATCGAAGTTTGTCACGCGTGTGAAAGGAACAGTCGGACACCCTATCATATCTTTTTTAGTTTGCGTATGGATGAAGATTCTATCCCTAGAACGTTAAATTCAAACACTGTTATGTTTTGTAATACAAGGATGAGGGCTCTAATGTAAGGGTCTATCATGATGTTTCTACTAGCAGAGGACTTGTTCCTTTCCTTAATTTATGATCACTTAAATAGATTGTTCTTTGTAGTTACACTTACAGATCAATCTCTACTAGGCATCTAGAAGTCTTGAATTCAGCAAACGATGCTAGAAAATTGGGACTCTAGAATAATGGGAAAATTGTTGTTGCATTTCATTGGATTGTCACTGGAGTTTTTTTTAAAATAAAAACATTTTAAGTTTACCCCTCACGTTACGCTCTGGGTACATATGTGCAGTATCAATAAAAAATTAAAGGTGCTAGCTCTTAAAATTAAGCTATTAAAATACCAAATGTACTTCATTTACATCCCAAATTAGGAAAGTTTGATATTTTATTATTTCATAAAGAAGTAGACAATGAAAAGTACGAAATGGTAAATGACTTATAACTTTGTATTGGTATGGCTGTTTTTCCCCCAATAGCTCATTCTTTATCTCCCTTCCATGCCATAAGTATGCAGTTTGGTTACATATGAATGTGTTCTCGAGAATACACTGATAAGGAGAGAAGATACAAATAAAATGGCTTTTTTTTGTGGTGGGCTGCTTGGATACCCTCTGATGGAACGTTGCCCACATGTTAGACTGGCACTCACACCTGAACATGGTGCTTCCAACAGAACCTCAGCATCTTTGCTCTGAAAGGAAGAAGGGGAACTACTTTCAGGTGCTTCCCAGCCATCTGAGCAGACAGTAGAATGTGAAAAAGAAATCAGAGAAGTACTTTGCAGCCAGCAGTACCAAAGGCTGGTGGCCTATCTACAGAATTACCTGGACACCTGCATATTAGCCGTTGCTGCAAGAGAACTCTTGATGGGGAAACATAGAGGAAAAGGGCAACAGTGACATGATACAGATCAGCACAAGGCTTTTTAAGCAATGGCCTAACCACCAGTTTTTCAAAAGATACCTGCAATCTGCCCCTATTTCCAGAGGTGTGTCTGTGATTGAAACTAGGTAAAACTCTGAGCTGGCTTTTTCTCTCTGGACACAGATGTGTCCCTCTGGATTCGGCTATTCCAGTCTGATCATTCTTATCCAAAACAAAGATGATTAATACTTCGTACTGTGCCGAGTTTGACACTGGTTTGGGCGGATGCTAGCCAAACATCAGTGTTCCTGCTCCTGGAACACTTTTGCTGACTTGAGACTTTGTAGACAACACTGTGTAGGAGGTGAGAATCCTAAAAATACCATTCTTGCCACCTGACAGGTTGCATGCCACCAACTTACCATGAGCTCTCTCTCAAAATAAGTGTGTGTGTGTGTGTGTGTGTGTGTTTATGTGTGTGTGTGTGTGTGTGTGTGTGTGTGTGCTCGTTCGTTCGTTCTCGTACAGGGAGAATGTTGGGCGCAGGGTTGAAGGGGAGGCTTGTGTGCGGCGGGTGGGCAGGCACCAGTATGTGTGCAGGTGAATGCAGAGCGCTGGAGCTGGGAAAAACTGACCAAATACGCTCTGGCTGGTTTGTGCTGCTCCAGAGGGGCATGCAGACTCATGCGTTCTTTTCAATATTTGTATCAATATCAGAAACTTTAAAAACCCAATATTTGCCAATTAAAAAAACCATTACGCTTGAAAGAAAGTTGAGTTCATGTCAGTTATGGGTTCAACTGAAAACAAATCCAAACGTACTAAAGTGTGGAAATGCACGATTAAGGCATTTTCAAAAAAATCTTAATTCTAACCCATAGTGACATGATAGGATAAGAACAGCCACACTGGGTCAGACCAACGATCCATCCAACCCAATGTCCTGTCTGCTGACTGGCCTAAGCCAGCCTGATTAGGGTGTCTGTTCTCTCTTGAGTTAGTGTTAATTCTTCAGTGGTTTTGTAGGCTACTTAGTACTCATAGCTGTTGGGACTATTGTTCTTCTCCCACCTCTTCCCTCTCCCTCCCATTCAAATATTTTTGTTGTTTTTCTCATGGGGGGGGGGGGGTCCAACTTCTTTAAACTGGAATGCCAGTTTAAAAGGGTTTCCCCCCTATAAACAAGCAGTTTGCATCAGTGATGGGCATACTCCGTGTATTTACTGCTTTGAAGGCTCCCATATCCCCAATGAATGCAAGATTTCCACTTCTTTTAAGGGAAGATACTTTAAAAAGAGGGGAATTAAGTATAGATTGTTCATGATAGAGCAAGCCTTACAACCAGCTTTGGACCTAGCTACAGAGAATCCTCCTGTGCAGAAGTAGAGTCCCTGTTAGTGCCTTGTCTGTGTCAAGATCATGCTCACCAAAAGCTTCTGAGGCAAAGACCGTGTGGAAACTGCAGCCTCCCAACATTCTGCATGAGCGAGGCCCCAGTAACCGTTACCATGGTGCTGAGCACGTCCCACTCAGACTATGGAAGTAGGTTAGAAAAGTGGAATGGAGACTTCTCCTCAGAGGATTCAGTCACCAGAGACCTCACACCCCAGGATTGCTGATGAGGCTCTGAGCATTTTGGACATAGTGAAGCATTACAGGACTCCAGTGAAAGCCCATTTGTGGTGATAACGAGCCTAGTACCAGCGACGGCTACCATCAAGGCCCATGATCATAAGACTGGTCTCTGAGGAATGGCAGTACTCTCGATGCCACCCTCAGTGTCTCAGACAAGGGATCAAGAACAGTCACTTGATGGCTGGATCCCTGCAAGGCTTGTGCATGAATCCAATTAACCCAGAACTCTCCTACAGTCATGAGATGGTTAACGTGTTTGTTAAAGGCAAGAGCAAGACTGGAGTTAAGGGCAGTCACAAAAGTCTTATTGCCACTTTCTTCTCCTAAACACAAACAAGTCACTCAAGATCATGACAGACAACCTTGCTTGTGTGTATGTATAAGTAGTCAGGAAGGAGTGCATTCCCCATTGCTCTGCACTGAAGTGATAATGCTTTGAAACTGGGGCATAGCCAGAGAGCCATTGCAGTTTCTTGCATCCCAGGTAGACAAAACAGTGTCATACTACCTCAGCAGACTGTTTGCCCTAAATTGCAAATGGGAATTGGGCTATAGCCCTCTGTAGCCAGCACAAAGTTCAGAATATTCTGTTCCAAGGGAGGATTCAATCCAGACACCTTTCTTGTTACAAGGGTGTGTGTGTGTCCGTGTGTCCATTGTTTTTTAAAGGGTCTCAGCAAGATCAAGACAGACCAAGCCAGGGTCACTTTGATTGCAGCAACCTGGCCAAGATGAGTTAGATTTCCTTACCTCTTCAGACTCTGCTCTTGTCTTTGATAGAGGCCCCTGATCAATTCTTGACTGCTGTGTCAGAATGCAGGTAGAACATGTCTCCTCAGTCTGAAAATTCCACAACTCTCACATGATTCCTGAATGGTTCTTGGGAGTAGAAGCATCCTGTTAATCAGAGATAGAACAAGAGCTATTAAATAGCAGCAAGGAATCTACAGGGCATACTTGCCTTCGGAAGTGGAGTCCATAATCCTCATTGGTGTAACAGCCGTCACCTTTCAATTATGCAGTTGTCTCTCTGCAGTCATGGATGAGTTGTTGGAATTGAAGTTGTCAGGCCTGTAGGAGTTCCATCAAGGTTTACTTGCCATCTGTTCACCATCCAGTTTTCTTTAAGCGGCACAGGAAGTCTACAACCACACAGGAGGCCATCTTCCATACGTTAGATGTTTAAAAGGGCATTAGTACCTTACTTGGATAGAACCAGAGCATTTGGGAAGTTCCTTGGACTTTATTTCTATTGCAGATAGATCTAGGCTCTAGGTCCCCGTCTCCATGCAGAGAATGTGTAAGTAGATGTGGATGTATTATTACGTGGTATGGCTTGGCTAATGCTCAACCTCCCCTATGAATGACTGCACAGTCTGCTCCAGGTAGATTACAGTCAACACCCATAGCCCTACTCAAGGATGTTCCAGCTACTGAAAGCTACAATGTAGTCTGTGGTGCATGCTTTTTCCAGCCAGTATGCTTTGGTTCACTCTGCTAAGTTGGATGCTGTAGTCTGATAACAGTTCTCTCCTCAGTGCTGGACTCTGTTCTGAAACTCCCACCTTCTTAAAATGGTATAAGTCAGAGGTCACCTGAAATGGAGCACCACCAGGGACTCTGTTCGAAGGAGGAGAGATTACTCACCTTGTACAGTTACTGGAGTTCTTCCAGATGTGTGCCCTGTTGGTGCTCCATTAGCTACCCTCCTTCCACCACTGCTTCAGAGTTTCTTGTATGGGAAGAAACTGAGGGCGGTTTCCCCACACAGCACCATATAGCCTGGTTGCGGGGCCTGAGGATATGTAGAACACACTTCCAAGCCAAATGTGCACTGCTGTCAAAAATATTTTGAGCAAAGTCACTCTGTCCACCTGACATTGAGCACCCAAAGAGTGACACATCACAAAGAACTTCAGTTCCTGCATGAGGTGAGTGACCTCTTCTTTCTGTCTGACCACACAGTCTAGGGTTAACTCTCATTGTCATGCATGTGCAGTCTCTGCTGTGAATGTTCATACAGGATCCTTTAAAATAAGCCGGGACTATTTATTTATTTAAGTCCACTTGATTAAAGTTTCCTTTTTCTATTCTTTCCACTCCAGGAAAACGCAGCACAGTTCTCTTGACCAGAGTTCTCCCCCTCAAAGTGGAGTATCTGGCACCTACAATCATCCTGTCCTGGGGATGTATGATTCCAAAGATGACTTTCCACTCAGAAAAACAGGTACATCCAAGATGTATTTTCTGTCTTGTGTACTAAATATGGGTGGTTTTTTAAATGTGTATTCCCCCTTCTTTTTAAAACCCACCTCTGTGGTATAGTAGAATGAATGAAAAGTGTTAGAATTTGAGTAGTGTTTAGTTTGGCGAGGCTGAAATTTAAGCCATATAAAACCAGCATGGGAAGCCTAATTTACATGACTTTTGAAGGTTTGTTGTCCTCATCACAAGAGCGAAATTAAAACTGAATTGTTTTCAGTCAACAAATGTTTCACTGAATGAGAAAAATGTATACTTCTTAATACTCATTTAAGGGCCCTTTTGTTGCATGTAGAATATTTTACCAACAGTAATAATCTTTGCCAGTCGATGCATGAGGATTTACAGTAAAGTTACTGGCTCATACCTGTGTACAGTTGTTTCTCAACAATGCTGTTCCCTTTGATTGAAGGGCCAGTTATTTCTCAGCTCTATGTTATGCAGATATCTGTTTTGGTTGGCTACTCTCATCAACGCCACATAATATGCCTATAGCCAACATGGAACCTTGGCTTCTAACAACAGCCTATAACTCTCTGAATAAATACATCCAATGGGTTCCCCTCAATCTCACTAACAGCTGTGCTGGGAAAGGCTGAGCACACACAACAGTGTGTTGTTTTTTAAAATATCTGCTGCCATTTTTTCAGTCATTTCTTAGAGCAGAACCACACTTCATTGGATGTAGTTTCTTTTAGTATTTGCCCATAGGATGAAATTTTAAAATAGGAGCAGACCTACCTACCTTGACATTTAAATGATACAGGTAAAAACTAGCCAAGGCAATCGTACAATAAATCTGTACCTGTTTTACAGCTATGAAAGACTTTAACTCAGATTCTCCTGCTTCTCTAACATTGATAGTGAATTTTGGGAAATTCTGTCTGTGTCCTGTTTTTTCTTTAGTTTGGCTTTCTTTAAAGATTGTGTCTGTGAAGATAAATGGGCGTTCATCCTTCGTATTTTCAATGCAACATTTTCATGACATATGGAAGGTTACAAAAAAAATTGAGACTTGTAACTTATAGACTGTTTTTCTTGCAGAAATGTTGCCTACAAAAAGACAGTTTATTGATGACGTGTCCAATTATATTCTAACACCTTACTGGATCTAACATAGTCTCTGCCCTCAGTGTTCTTAGTCACTTTTTTCAACTATTTAAATTGCGTTTGTAAAGCACTAGAGCATCGAATTTTAATGCAAATCATGTATAATCAGTATGACAGCTGTCACTCTATTTGGCACTTATTGTTCTGTGCACCACAGAACTTAGGAAACATGTTTTTGCCAGCTAGTTACATTATATTTTTTGCATATTACTCTAACATAAATAAACTGTTGTCATCTTGTGCAGCTGAGAAGTTTCTCACTTCGTAGTTTCAAATAAGTTTGGTCACAAATGAAATGGAAAGAGGGAAAGGCCAAAGAAAATGCTATAATGGATATCTGTTTTAATATTACTAGTTTTGTGTTAAAAATGATGCCGTATTGACAAGCATACGAATTTACAGAGATAAGTATTAGCAATCAGCATGAGGAGTCATGAGAAACAACCTTAAACCCAACCACAAGTGGGAGAATTAGACTTCAAATGGGAGGAAAAAGCTCAACTTGCTATTACCCTTTTTGAGCTGAAAAAAGACAAAGTTGGAGGCTTTTGTAAGCAATGAAATACTTGTATCTTCTGAATAATGCCCAAAATCTGTTTAAAAAGCTACTTTCCACTTTGTCCGTACTCAGAACACGTTTGAGTATAAACTGGACCCTGCCACCCAGTCAAATGCCTTATCTGCATTGAATGAGGGTACTTAGAATCTCTCATAATTGAAGAAACATTTTTAACTTTTCTAGTAGTATTCTTCATCTCTCTAATGGACTTTCAGGTAGAATATTTCAAAATGGCATGCAGTTTAAAGGTGCCCACTATAGGGTCCAACTTCAACTAGGCTTGGTGGAAAATATTTAATCTTTGACTTATATGGTCAGCTATGTGAGAACTTCATGATTGATCATTTTTTGCATCAGTCATGCTAGTCAGTATGAGAGCAATTTAGAATAAGATTCGTAGATCCCCAGGGCAGAAATACCATTGTGATCATCTAGCTTGACCTTCTGTATAACAAGAAACTTCTCAAAAATAAGTCCTGTAGCACATCTTTTTTTAAAAAAACCATCCACTCTTTATTTTAAATTTCTCATTGATGGAGACTCCACTGTGACCATTATATCGGTGACTAGAGTATAGGCCATCAGTTTTTTACAGATTTGATCTATTTTTGTAATAAACCATCCCCAATCAGGGGTATTATAAAGACGAGGACCTGTTGTGGGTTCTTAGGTTCCCCCAAGAGGTTAAGTGGGACAGTATCCTTGATGTTAGCTCATCCAAATGCAAGAGGGGTGTTTGCTGTCAAGGAGCAATCATATGCACTGCTCTCTTGCCATCATGTCACATTACTGGTCTCAGTGGCGAAGTGCCTCCGGAAAGCTCATGTTGTTCAGTTAACTCTAATTCTGTTTCTTAGTCTCCTTGGCTGCCCATGGTCTGGCACCATTTGTTGTGCCATTTTCCCTTCACTTGGCAGTTCTTCCAACTTCTGTCCCATGGATGCTTGTTCTTTTCCGCAGCCTTCAAGTAAGCTTACCTCTAGTCCTAAAAAAGTCTTTCACTTTATCGCCATCTGCCGTAAGAATGCTATCCCATCTCACTACCTTCTTTTTCTGCCAACTGTCTGCTTTAAGACTTCCATCTGCCACCTGACCTCTCTGCTCTAATACTCTTGTAGGGCTAGTTCTAGTTAAAAAACAAAATAAAAACCTAACAAACTAAATCTGCAACAGCATCATTTGATTTGCGGTGAGTTATTTTAGAGGTGTAATTGATACTACACTAGCACATTGTCGTTCAAAGCACAGATATTGGTTCTTTTTGGAAATCCAGAACAGTAAGTACATTTGGATTTTTTTCTTTAACTCCCTGATGTACTGAGATACAAAACATACATGCTCAGAATGTTATGTTTCTTGGGGAAGTGCAACATCAACAAAGGGAAGGGAAAGTTGGAGTCCATCCTAAATAAAGACCTTCATTAGTATCTAAAGCTCAGCAGGTGTGCTTTCAGACTTTGGGGACCAATAAAAACACTACTTTGAATTGTATTTGTAACTTAGAACTGCTCTATCATGCCTTTCAGCTTTTATGAAATTTGTTGAAATCAGGCTAGTTGAAATACAAAATCGACCACAGTGCAGTTTGGATTACAAGAGCTGAAATGCAAACATTATCTTTGATATGGATTGAGTGACAGAAGAGGCTAAGAGAACACAGCTTGATTTTTATTCCAAGTTCAATATTCAGTGCTGGCAATTTGACTTGAATGCTGAGAGAGTTTGATATGAAGTCCTTCAGTGATTAAATAGTTAACCACAGTAGATTATTTTTAGTGTCACTTTTCTCCCTTTTCAATGACTTTCTCCCTTTTGCATCATGACCTCTTGGGCAATATATAAAGAAGACTTCCCGCACTACTGCATCATGACCTCTTGGGCAATATATAAAGAAGACTTCCCGCAAAATTGTTTGTGAAACAGTAAATGCCAACATCATGCCATTAGCATATCATTAGTATAGCCTCTCTCACACAGTCCTGCTCTAATGTAATTTGTAGGCCTGGATTGATCTGTTGCTCTTTCTTGGCCATTGCTTTCTGCTTGAAATTGTTTTACTCTGACTCCTTAGAGATGCAGTTTATAAGTACTTATGTCCTGTTCTTCTAATAGCAGCGCTTTTTTCCCAGTCTCTTAGATTCCTTTAGGAGGGTATGAGTGTGCATATCCCATTTATGGCCATTGAGAAAATAGGGGTGATGTTTTCCTAAAATGAGTGACACTTTTAAATGTACTATAGCTGCTAAGGTGCCATGCACTGAGCTAAAACAATAGTTGTCTATTGTAGTGATGTCTCTCAGTGGCCACAGGCAGCTAATCTCTTATTGGTTTTTGCTACACCTGATGTTTGATCTTTTATAAGCTCTCCAACACCTGTTGAATTTTTAATATGTAAATTTTATTTACCAGATTAGGGGTCTGTTTTGCCACTTATTATTTTTCCTATATCCAGATGTTTTGCTTTTGCTTTTCTTGTTGTCCCTTGACTTTTAAGAAGTGTGAATACTTCGAAATGCCCTGCTTTAATTCTGAAATGGACACACAGTCTTTTCTTTAAGAGACTGAGGAAGATAAACAGTGGCACTGCTCAGTATACCTGAAAAGCCCCTCCCCCCCTTTTGGATCGTCTAGCCTGCTAGGTACTGACCACCTGCTGTCAGGTATTTTGTCCTGAACTTCCATTGCCTTCTATAGGAGCTGAGAACGTTTAGCATCTCACCAGACAAGAAAAGGCATAATTGTGGTAGAGCAGCTACCTCCTCCTCTTGTGCCTCCACACATCAGGCAGGAGCTGAGGCCCTGGAGGTTTTTCGCCTTCCTCTGTAGCATGGGGTACAGATCACAGCTAGAGGATCTCTGCATCTTGGGGTCTTCAAAGTATTTGAAGGCTTCAATATCTGAGATATAGGTGAGAGGATTATTCTAGGAGGGGTGGGTGAGATTTTGTGGCCTGCACTGTGCAGGGGGTCAGACTAGATGATCATAATGGTCCCTTCTGACCTTGGAGTCTGAGTCTGAGAACATGCTCAGAAGGCTACAGAGTCAAAAAACATTTTCCTGTGATGTTGCAAATCCCTGGGTAGGATGGTATTCTACTGCTTAGCTGGTAGAATCGGTTTGCAAACCATGCATTAGGGATGATCCATTCTGTTGTGCAATAAAACATTGCATGTGCAAGAAACACAATCACTTTTTGAACTGATTCTGATCCTTTGGATGCGTGCAGTGACTTGTTTTATGACAAAGATTGTTTAGAGGAAAATAGAGTAGGCTGAAAGCTCAACGCTGTGTAGGAGTACAATTTAGCAGGAGTCTTTGAGCTTGGTACGACGTAGTGTCACTCACGTTGGAGAGAATCTTTGTTTTCCCACCCACGTTGTATTGCCTGCTGATGCAGTCCAAGTTTTGGTTCTGCTGCATTGCTTGCTTTGTACCACATATCCACACGTGACTTCTCAGGTATACTCTTTCAAGGAAAGGTAGTCGTTGACCTATTATCATGAGCAATGCCTATAGTGGGGAGAGAATAGCTTTTTGCATATTCGGGATGTTCAATTTCAATTAATCAGCTAATTGAGTAGTTGATGGAATTTCCATCGACTACTCGATTAGTTCGCTATCCCACTGCGCCTCTGCCTTTGAAATGTACAAGAGCCACGGGCAGCTCTTGTACATTTCAAAGGCAGAGGTGCAGCACTAGGGACCCCATGCAAGCAGGGACTGCTTCAGTCCCTGCTTGAGCTGTTTCTGTCTCTGCTTTCCCTGTTCGCTCCCCTCCTTCCCCCCCGGAGATGGTGCTGGGGGATCTGGCTTTTAAGCCGGCTCCCCCCAGCACCAACTCCTTCCCCTCCCCCCCTGCTGCCTCAGATATAGAGGAGGGCAGGGAACAACTAGTGGAATAGTGACTTGACTACCCTATAACCCAAGGCTTATCCGGTAGTTGACTAGTTGCTTACATCCTTAGCGCATATATTTCCGAACTATATATTTTAGAAATGTGCATCTGTCTGCCCATCTGAGTACCCTTGCTCAAGAACTCCTCCTCCTCCTACTCTCAAGACCCAGACTGAGAGACATTAGACTCTACACGCTCCTCATGGTGTCAGTACTTGCACCAGCCTCGCAGCTGGAGCATTTGTACTTGGTACTGAGTACTCAGCATCGACAGGAAATACCTCTCTGGCATCAGTCCACGTCACCAGCACCAGCAAAGAGGCCGTCAGAGAGCACACGTGATGGGGCGCGCTCAGGCATCCATACGACAAGCATAAGGGAGAAGTTGAGTCAAGAGCAGTTGCAACCATCTCGCTTTGACAAGAGCATGGCCAACTGGCAGCTTAGTCCAACCCCTCCATCTGCCGCCTCCTCCACTGCGTGATAGAAGCACACAGCACCTCGTGGTGCTGTCCATTCCAGAAGCCTTTGGAGTGGCAGAAGCCACCTTCTCCCTCCCGGAGCAGCTTGCTCCTCAGGAGAGAGGCGCGACAACCTCTCCTTCCCAACTGTCACCCCTTGCATCCTCCACAGGTCTCAGACCTGCAGCCATGCCACAAAGGGGACACACAATCCATTTGTCTGAACTTCCAGTGTGTTTCCTTTGGGCAGCTCCGATCCTCCTTGAGATATATGTTAAAGCTTGTGGTCCTCATGCTCATTCACATGGAAATTCTTATTAGAGGGAAGGTTTCCTGTTGCAATTAAGACCTGTCGCAGCAACATTTGTAATATTAGCTAAGTTGAGAGACCCTGATCTTTTTTCCATTTTAAAGAAGTTTCATAGTTGGACTATTTCTTCATTACATACCTTTAGCATGTAGTAATTAATATATTCCCAATACAAAACAGAATTCAGATAAGTACCATGCAGGAAATAACTCCAGTATGAATGCAGTCCTCGTTTTAATAGAATTTTTGTTGTCGTATTTGTCTTTTTCAGAAGACAGATGCTTTAACCAGCTGTCAAATGTGCCTACATTGCATGCGTATGTCGGTACTCCACATATATCCACCATGTATAGAACGACATCTATATGAAACATGGCTTTCCTATAAAGTACTGACCCATGCGTCTAATCAATTAATGGATTTAAAATGTAAATTTGCTGTAAGAGTAAATTATCTACCTTAAAGAATAAATACTTTCTCATAAGGCTGAACATTCTCGTGTCTGTCTGTACTCTTAAACTAATATCAGGTCCTTCCCTTTAAAGCAGAGCTGGGTTTTTTTTTTCTGCAGTGACACTGAAGAAAATGCAACTTAAATTTAAATAGCTGCTTCTTTAATGTTGTCCTTCTGGCAAGCAGCAGATTTATATTCATTCCACTTGCTTTATGTAAATAGAATATCACATGATTTTGCCCTTCACTAATGAATTTAAAATGGAATTTTAAATATCTGACGCTTTTAAAGTACCTCCTTTATATTTTTTTAAAGCAAATTTAGGTAGACAAGTTATTCTCTGTCCATGGTATATTCATGAAAAGCCCCTTTTCTAACATTTCATCAGAGAACAATTTGGATGAGAACTTTCTAAGCATTTGGTCATGAAGCTGTGAACTTCTGCTTTGTGTACTTGCCACAAGTAAAACATTGTGTTTG